CCACATCATTGCCAATACTTGTTAGCATGTCCTCATTTTTAATGAGAATGCCTCTAATAAATATCATTTAAGTGTGATAACTGTTGGCTTGATATTGTTTTAAGATAATGTATGAAATACTGTATTTCTAGTGCATTAGTTTAAAATCAGGAGTGGAAACAATGTTTTACCAAATGATTTTTAAACATCTTATTGAAATGATGCACTTTCCTTTTATAAACTTACAATAAATTTTACCCTTAAACCACCTTGCTTTCTTAGAATAAACCTGTTATAGTGTAACATTCATTGACTACAGTCTGGATTTGATCTGCTAGTTTTGTTCTTTTATTTAGGATTGTTGCCTCTGTATGCCTATGAAATAGGCCTCTAGGATCTTTTAATTTGAGGCAAGGTAGGTATTCTCTTAACTATGAGGATACCATCTTGGAAATTCACCATCATTTGCTATGTATTAGAACAGTTTATTGTGGGAATCATGTTCCTTGAAAATTAAAAAAATAAACTGCTCAACCATAAAAATAATCTAGTCTTATACCTCTTTGGGAGAATCTTGACTACACTTTCTTCCATGGTTATTCTATTCAGATTTTGTCTGCTTTTCATACCATGTATTTCTCTAGAAAACCACTCAATTAAAAAAATTATTGGCATAGTGTATATAATTTAAATTTTTTCTATTTTTGGTGTATAACCTTTCTCATAAAAAATGGACATTGTATTCTTTGTGCATTTTTATTCTCCTTTTTCTTGGTATGTCCCATGAGTTTTATTGCTAATAACCTTTCTCATAAAAAATGGACATTGTATTCTTTGTGCATTTTTATTCTCCTTTTTCTTGGTATGTCCCATGAGTTTTATTGCTCTGAACTAGTTATTTTTACAAACATCATTCTCTCCCCTTTATTCCTATTTTCTATTTTCTGCTTTTTTGTTATTTCATCCGACTTTCCTTAGCATTTTCAAATGTTTTAAACTTAATGCTTAGTTTCATTGTTTCACATTTAATAAAGGCTATAAATTTGCTCGAGGTAGATAGCTGAACCTCACATTACTTTATCCTTTAAAGAGTAGTCTGTAATTCTAATTTTTCCTTTGGCTACTTATGTTGGTGTTTAGAAATTTCAATAGGTACTTTGCAGTATGTATCTAGGAGTATAAATGCTGGTCACATGGTAATACTGTTGTACTTTTTGAAGAACTGCCAAACTGTTTTCTACAGCAGCTGCACTTTACATTCCTACCAGGATTGAGTTGTAAATTTTACACATTTTGGCCAGTATTTGTTATTGCCCATCTTTTTGATTATAGCTCTCCTCACAGGTGTGAATATCTTTTTGTGATTTAGTCATTTCCCTAGTGAGATTTTCATGTATTGTTGGTCATTTGTATGTCTTCTTTGGAGAAATGTTTATTCAGACCACTGCTATTTTTCCTGGGAGAATACCAGAATCTCGATCAGCAATGATCTCCATACCAGCTTTTCTGCTTTTCCACCCAGTAATCCTCCTGGCAAGTGGTGGACTGGATTGTGTACAGACCTCTCCAGTTAAGCTCAGACAAATCTTTAACATTTACATATGGATAAAGACTTAGGATCCAGCAGAATATGATTGAGACACTACCTTTCACACCAATGAGTCTTGATTCAATTAAGTATTTATTGAACACCTACCATGTGTAAAGTGCCATACCAGGCACTGGGAGAAAAAAGATCAACAACCTTTCAGAAATGGAAGTAATCCCCTCCTTCATTTCTGCTGTTTTACAATCTAGTTTTTAAAAGATATACATAAGGCAAATTGCCACTAAAAGAATGGTAACATAGTTCCATTTAAGAACAAATCACATAAACTGTGGTTTCAGTTTCACAAGCTTTTGGCCTTCTAAGACAGTACAGCCATTCTACCAGTTAATGAAACTCATACTCAACTCTTTAGGAATAAGTTTTCATTGGAGAGTACCTTCAGTATTTAAAGGTAGGATGGTACTTTATCAGGTATATTCTAATATTGCCCAGAACAGGAAAACTGTCTTTCCATATTTTGCCAAGTAACAAAATTCTGGAAGCACAATGTTTAAACCCTGTTTACTTTGAGCAAAGTAACAGAGATAGTGTCTCACATTATAAGACAGCAATTTTATAAAACCCATTTGAATTACAATTTGATGCAGCTGTCTTACGTTTAATTTTGTGCCATGCTACCTTAGCCAGATTATTTCAGTATATACATGTTTTCCTGACCCAGTCTGGGTACTCACCTTTATTCAGTAGGTTTAGATCAAAAACTTTTATTGATTATTGCAAAACATTTAAAGAAAAAGCATTTCCTACCATTGAGACTATTCAAAAGAACATTTATTGTAAGCTCTAACGTCAGTTCCAGAACCATTCTGAGCAACAACAGCCCTACTAAGTTAAAGATGATGTTCATTTGGAATGAAATGTTATATATATTTCAAAGCATTTATTTTGTAGGCACATCTCATGCATTGACTCCCTACCTCAATTCCACCATTTCAGTACTTTATATATTGTTTACACCAATACTATAACAAACATGACTTCCTTTTTTGGATATAGCAAATAGGTCATCCCTAATATCTCACTGCAAATTAGCTTGTGACCTTGGACAATCAAAAATTTTGTCTTGGATCCTCATTTAAACAAAAATCAACAACAAAAAGGAACGTATTGGCTGATTCAAATGACAACTGAATGAAGCTAAAAAAATACGCCTTTTCAAAAACAGTTGAAGGGAATTATGGAAAGACAAAAATTGTCTTTGATGGTCTGCAGAAAATATTTTTCAATTCAAAATTATACTTGAGATGAGTGCAGAGCCTCTTGAAATTTTCCAGAGCACAAACAACTCTACTTTGACTTGAAAGTAAAATATATTTGGTAAGTCTGCATTAAAATTTAATATGCCTGTACTTAAAACCCTACTATATAAAAAAAATTCTAACAGTGAATCTGGGTCAGTTGGTATACATAGGCAGATTTAATCACCAGCTTTACTTCATGCATGATATAAAAGAAAATGTTGGTTAAAAGATTTTAGGTACTTCTGATTGAACAAAAAGTCATGAAATTTGGATTTTTATCCTAAATGGTCATCTTATGCATGCTTCTCCAAATAATAAGTAGATCCTATTATAAATAAAGGTCTTAGCATATGTATGTAAATGTGACAGGACATTTTTATATTAAAAATGACTGTAAGCACGTATCAATATGAAAGGGGACAAATCTAACTCTGATACATCTGTGTCCCGTGTTGACAGTAATAATATAAACACAAAATTTACAGAACATTTGATGATTAAAACTAAGTTCTATCTCAAAGTAACTTGAAAATTCTCCCCCATAAAAAAACTTGGGGGAGGGGTGGAGACCAACTAGGGAATGTGGAGGAAGAAAACTGAATATTCTACAGGACATTGGAAAAAAAAAAGTCTTGTTTTCAATTAGTGATATTTGAAGTAAATAAATTACGTATGTACCTAATTCAGCATAAGTTACTAAATTAGAGTATGACTAAAAAATTAGTTTCAGGTTGACCTAGTATGAAGCTGGCACATAAATTTCCCTTTACATCAGGTATAACCACAGCTAAAACTTGATCTTTACATAGCAAACAATAGAAAACTACAAGGATTCTGAACTCATTTAATGTATTTCATACTGATGTGTTAATATTTAATGCTTAATCAAAGGCAGCAAAACTGAAATTGAGTACTATTAAAGAGATGTAGCAAGAAAGCCATTTTCTTTCTCATTTATAATTCTAATCTGATCATCTGTAATGTTATAATCTTAGATTTAAGCAGTATCCAAAAACACAATATTTTGTTCATTAAAAAAAAGTGGTAAACATCACCCTATTGATGTGCAACATGCTGATTTCCTAGATGTGAAATTAAGGCCCAGTTATTTGTCCAAGATCACATAGCTAATTAGCATAAGGTGTCAGACTTTTTAACTCCCAGTTTTGTGCTCTAATTACTGAAATATTTCTAGGATAACAAATACTTGTTTAAACCAACAAACTATTATAATATTTAAGAGGTTAGCCTAACAGGAACGTAAAATTTTAGCACAAATATGACTGGCCTAGAATTAAACTAGGTTTATATATTACAAATAAAACACCATATATATAAAATCAATGGCATCTATTGATTTCCACATCTTAAATGTTTTATCAGACTTAGATATAACCAATCAGAAACTCAAATCTGGATACATCCAAGCTTTGTTGATTTGTATGAAATTTCCTCTATATAGACAGGAATTACTAGGGTTAGTTTAAATACTGTTCAATCTTTAATAACAGTAATTTTATGTTATTTCTCTGAATATTTGCACTATTTTGAAATAATTGATAAACTTAAAACAACTCACACTGACAGCTCCATACATTACAAGATGTCTCTAAATGTATTTTTCTTTTTAACATAATAACAGTAATTTTGTTATTTCTCTGAATATTTGCACTATTTTGAAATAATTGATAAACTTAAAACAACTCACACTGACAGCTCCATACATTACAAGATGTCTCTAAATGTATTTTTCTTTTTAACATGAGCTGAATTTACTGCTTATAATAAATTATATTTCTCAATACAACTAAGAGTCTTCAAAAGCATGGAGACTGCTATTTGTCAATAACTGCAAGAAAGGCAATCTAAAAGAATAATAACCTAGACAGTACAAAAATGAAATACTAACTGAAATGAAATAAAAGATTTTGTACTAATTTCTGTGCAGAAAAAAAATACTGGGGAGATTTGCATATAATCTAAAAAATGAACTACCTACCAAGAGTCAGAAAACTTATTTCAATGCTACATATAAAATTATCTCTTAAATGTAACCAAATAAAAATTCCTGCTATTTAATTACATGGCAAGGTATCCTGAAGCAAATACTTCAATGAATTCTCAGAAAAAGAGAAGGCTAGAAAGATCAAACATCAAGTGTTCATCAAACCTTTCATTAAACAGAACCTTTATTAACACATGAATATCATTTTTTGCCCCAAGATATACAGGTTTTCCTAATCTTTAGTTCTATTTAAATATTTTAAACTTAAGGTTACTTCTAGATCTTAACACACACAGTAACCTACTAAAATTGGTCAAAGTAAACTTTATTCTAGCTATCACCTTGACCTTTAAGATTATCATTTAGGTTTATAAACTGCCATTATTTGTCACCAAGTAGAATAAAATTCTTGTACTTGATAACCTTTCACATCAAAATACGTACCAGTATGTCTCAGAAGTTACTAAAATATATACAATTAACATTAATATTTAATTGCTTTCAATAAGCTGGAACATATATAATGTTAAGTCTTTCAAGAAGAAAAATTGCTTTTATACATCTTGGTTTATAGATTTTGCAGGTTCCAAAAAACTAGTCCATATTAAGCCAGTCTTGAAGAACTAATCTAAAGACAAATTTATAGACCCTGACAGCTGACAGCTTTATCTTACTATTACGAGACAATAAAAATCCAACTCCAGCACTTCTTTTCTCATGCCTAAGCAGAGATGCTGTCATCGTTTTTCAAATTTTTTTGTCTGCAAGTTGGATTTCAGTAGAAGTTCCACACGTTATGGGTATCATATTTATTGGGACATACTTTAATTAATATAAGATAATTCATATACTATGTCAAAGTGCATTATAAGATTTGCACTGCATCCCCACATTTTTCATCTTTTACAGTATTTCAGTTGGACAGAGGAAGACTGGAATAGTTCAGAAAAGTCTAGCTTTTAAGATCTGGATAAAGTACATAATGAGTCTTTTAAAACACACTTAAATAATCAGAAGTGTAATCACAAGGGACTATGTAAAAAGAATGAGTATTGCAAAAGCAGCTTTATAGTGAATGAAAGTACAGTATTTTGGATTGGTCACAATGCACATGAAATCAATCATGTAATATACTTGTTGACCATGTGGCTACAGTTCCAAAAGTCACTGCTCCAAAAGCTGTACCTAGTAATCTTCCAAAATTGTTTTAAAATATAAAATAAAGTTCTTAAATCGTAGCAATAAACAAAAAAGATAAGATACACTTAAACAATACTGCATTTTATCAAAAGACACATAAGAAACTTCAACTCTTATGTCTTTGACAATTATAAAAATCAATGTTCTAAGTTACGAACATATTTATAATGTAATTATTTGCATAACTCTACTAGTGCTAATGACAGCTGTAAGACCCAAATAGATTTTTAAAAACACTGAAAACATAAAAATATGTAGCCCAGTATTTACCTGTTGAAAACGTTCATTTATGCCTACATTTCAGCATTTACTCTATCACCACTAATCTAATTTAAAAAAATCACATCCAAAGTATAAGGCAAAACCACCTATGAATTGGCGTACTTGTTTATTTCTGAATTTGTGAAAATGTCCTTAATTTGTTGATGTAGCAAACAAACGTCAACTCTGGTTGCTATGCAAAAGAACAGAAGATAATCTGCTTTGCAATGAACTTTAAAGTTCAATTGCACACAGGCAACATGCTATATATGAAAAAATTACTAACTGAACTACAAGTATTAAATACTGAAAAAAGTTAACAGTTTATTATAATTTATTTTATTTAACAATCTAGGAAGTTCGCAGCCATCAGCAGTTCCAGTGCAATTTCAGGTGCAATTGGGAATTCAGGAATCTCTGTGGAGCTGTTAGTGTAGCGAACCTTGTAGGTAAAATACATGCATACTTTTGATAGCACATGTGAAGGGATCTCTCTAAAATTGACTTCATTAGTTTCATTCTCAGCAAACTGACCTGTAAAAGAAAGGAATATGTTTGTTACGGGCTGAACTGTGTTCTTCCTTCAGAATTTGTATTTAGAGATAGAGGTTTTTTTTTTCTTTTTTTACTTTTTTTCTGTTCAGGAAGAATTTAAAAAATATAGAACATTTCAAATATTTGTATCATTCTTATGCAGGCATCATGCTAAAATTCTGTGTACTAACACAATTTTAGTGTAAGTGCTGCCCAAGCAAGCATGGAGATAGGGCCTTTAAAGAGGTAACTAAGGCAAGATGGGGTTATTAGGTTGGGCCCTAATCCAGTGTGACTAGTAACCTTATAATAGGAGATCAGTCACAGACACACACAGAGGGAAGAAAATGTGAAGACACAGGGAGAAGACAGCCATCTGTAAGGCAGGGAGGACTCAGAAGAAACCAACCCTGCCAAAACTTTTATCTCAACTTTCTTCCCTCCAGAATTGTGAGAAAATAAATTTGTTTTTAAATCACCCAGTTTATAGTACTTAGTTATGGCAGCCCTAGCAAACTTATCAGTGAAAAGAATAAACCCAACTAACATCAAATGAAATATCTAACACTGATTTCTGAACATTAACATAAAATCTTTAAGATTTGGGATTCATTAAGACTGACTTAAAAAATTCTATCTTTGTCCAAAAGTTTGTCTTAAATATCTTTTACTAAGAATCCTGATGGCATGAATAGTAAAGGGTGAATAGGACATAAGAAAGCTAAATCTTTCAGAAGATTCAGCTTACAGAATCAAGTTTCTATGGCTCATCAGGTGCCCTGTGCTATACTGAACTGCCATGAAAAAGTAAGTGAAATAGTATTAAAATATTTTCAAGGATGTAAATCTACTGTTTCTCTATTTAGTTTTTAAAAATATGATCATGTTAATGAGATCTCCTAAGCTACTTCCCTTTAATAACACTTTATAAACTCTAGTGATCTCTTAAAAGACTTCTTTAGCTATCCATAAGTTAAGCCATTTAGCCTTTATTATAGGAATGAAATATCTTCTTAGCATTCTAGTACTAGGTACTGTGCACTGAATATAAAAGGGAGGAAAATATAGTTTCTGAGCCTGTATTTCAAAAGGTTTCTAATTGTCTAACAATAAAAAGGAGAGCAGGATGCAGCAAATGAGGTAAATCACAGCAGTGAGGTAACTTTGGCTTGCCAATAACTAACTCTTTCTTGAATATATGTATATTACCAATAGGTACTTACTAAGCCTTTGATGCCAAACATTGTTTTCTTTTCAGATGAAATTCAGACAGCATAAAATTTACCATTTTAAGTGTACAATTCATGTTGGGCAACCACCCACTCTATGTAGTTCCAAAACATTTCATCACCCCAAAATAAAACACCAGAAGTTTTAAGCAATTACTCCCCATTTCTCCAACCCCAAAGACTCTAGAAAACACCAGTTTACTTTTTCTATCTTTATGAAGAACTAATTCAAAAATTAGTTTTGGGCTGAAAGTTTGATGTTTTGAAGATACAACTCTTGTTTTTAAATTAAGAGATCAAGATTATGAAAAGCAAAAATCCTTTAATTTTTAATTAAAAATTTTCTGGCATTTGTGATTTTTTTCCCTAAAGTATGTCCAAGCTCTGTCCAGTATTAAAATCTAAAAGCAATGGGTAAATCTAGGAGCAATGAGTACTGCTAACACCCAGACTGGGATCTCTAAATATCATTTTCCATTAAAAGAAAATAGGCTCTTTGGAAAAATGGATTGAGCCTGTCTTGTTATTATAGGAAGTAGTATAGCTATCCTTACAGAAAGTAGTATAGCTATCCAAGATTATGGAGCCATGTCAAAAGGACACAGGAGCCAACCTGATCTGGCTCCTTCTAGTGTAAAAGGAGCAAATGGAACAATTTGACCATCAGTAAGAAGGACTGCACCACAATAGAAAACATCAACTACAGAAAGTAACAAGTTGTTAATGATATGCAAAAAAACAAACAACATGATACTCTTTACTACTGGAGGATGCTGGAGAACCAATTCATTACTCTAAAAAATTATTATGTAAAGGAAAAAAAAAATCAAGGATTTATCTTTTTCTTTCCTGTACAGAATGTATTTCAGGGTAACCAAATAGTTCTTATTTATAGGAGAATTCTAACTAATACATGAAAAAGAAATTGTTGAAGTAGAAAGTCACTGTTTTTTTAATTCCAAATAAGGTAAACCTCAGCAATAATCACAATGAATGCCAAAACCATGAAAATCTGACTGGGGAACTGCTCATGGACATATCAGCATGATAACCTTGGTACCCATTAATCAATCTTGACATTGTTAGAAGATGTGATACATAGGAATACAATAGTACCAACTAAGTATTTTTGCCTAGAAAAATGAACAGGATTATAATCAAGCCTCTAGAATTCTGAGTTTCTAAGATGTTACTATTAAGTTTAATCCAGATGTGGACATTACACAAATAACCTTGTTTCTCTGTAAAACTGATGGTCTGAAAAGAAAGGGAGGATGCATGTCAGGGATTTGCTTAAAATACTCCTGAAAAAGAAAAAGTAGAGATAATCGATTAAGACAAGATTGGCAAAATGGTGGTAACTACTGGAGCTGGCTGATGGTAAAGAGGTATTTTATACTATTCCTTCTACTTCCGTATATGTTTTTAAATCTCCATAGTAAAAAAAGGAATTGCAAGGGACCCCAAATAGCCAAAACAATCTTGGAAAGAAAGACAAAGTTGTAGGTCTCACACTTCCCAATTTGAAAATACTACACAAAGCTACCATAATCAAAATAGTGTAGTAATGGCATAAGGGAAGTTATGTAAGATCAGTGGAATGTAACAGAGAGCCTATAAATAAACCCACAATCTGTGGTTAACTGATTCTCAGCAAGAGTGCCAAGACCATTCGATGGGGGAAAGAATGGTCTGTTTAACAAATGGTACTGGGATGTCTACATGCAAAAGAATGAAGCGAATTATTAACTCACACCATATACAAAAGTTAACTTAAAATCAAAGACCTAAATGTTAACAGCTAAAACCATAGAATTCTTAGAAGGAAACATATGGGTAAATCTTCATGACACTGGATTTGGCAATGGATTTTTAGACAGGCCTCCAAAAAACAGAAACAACAAAAGGGGAAATAGATAAATTGGACTTCATCAAAATAAAAAACCTGTGCATCCAAAGACACATCAAGAAAAAGACAACCTACAGAACCAGAGAAAATATTTGCAAGTCATGTATCTGATAAAGGTCTAGTGCCCAGAATTTATAAAGAACTCTGGCAAGTCAACAACAAAAAGACCAATAACCTAATGAAAAAATGCATGACAGACTTGAACAGATATTTATCCTAAGAGGATATAAGAAAGGTCAGTAAGCACATGAAGAGATGTTCAACATCATTAGTCATTAGAGAAATGCTAATCAAAACCACAATAAGATACCACTTCACACCCATTCAGATGGCTAGAATAAAAAAAAATAGAAAACATCAAGTGCTAGTGAGGATGTGGAGAACATTCACATAGCTGGTAAGAATGTAAAATGGTTCAGCCACTGTACAAACATTGGCATTTCCTCTAAACATGTTCCAGAAATTCCAACCCTCCAGAAAAATTTTTGAGGTAAAAAAGAAAAATTACCTCAAAGGGAAAAAAAAGTTAAGAATATATATCTGGAAGGCAGTAACTTCTACAGATGAATTTCATATGTAACTAGGAGCATAAATCACCAATCAGGATTCTGTAGTGAAGAAGTTAACCACAGAAACTAATGTAGAGAAATGATCTTTCCTATTACGAAAATAATCAATTTGATCTTAACTGAAACTAGGGTAACACTGGAAACAGGATATGGCAGAAACCAATTTTTTCCAATCAACATATTCATGCAATAATGTTAGAACAGTTATTGTGTCTTTATTTTAAAGCTGTGATCATTGAATTCAACTTAAAAACACACTCGCCAAATACTAAAAGTGAAGGTACGTTAAGAGAAAATAAAGAAATATAACTACCTGGGCCACTCAACATGGCTTTTATTGTTCCCGATGTTAGTGCATGTTCTCTTTTTACAATAAATTCATGACCATCTGAAGATATCAACTTGACATACATGGCATCTGGGCCTTCACAGCCACCATAGGTTTTTTCTTCTCCATCTAAAGTAAATAGTAAACTGATTTTTGAATCACAAAATTTATTAAAAATAAACAGGTTTTCCAAGGTTAGTATTTAAGTAACTCAGACCAAACACGTTTCAGGAGCTACTAGCCAGCAACATGTTGGTTTTTAACTCCTTGTTTTATTAATCTCTAAACATTTTCCAATATCAGGATAAACTCTACAAAGGTGTTACTGTAGATGATAATTTATTTTCAAGTACTTTTGAAAAATATTTCCGTACTTTTCAAGGAAAAATTAACAATTTTTTGTGAACTACAGCAGCACACTGAAACTTGAAAACTAAAGCAAAATATTCAATAGCAAAACTTTAATTCTGAAATACTCATTTTAAAAATAAGATCACAGCATGTTTATGAATGTTTGTATGCCATGTGAGCTCAACTTCTGATAAGCCCCAAATTCTAAGTTAAGGCTTCCGTTACACAGCACTCTACTCTTGATCCATGAAAATAATGCTCAAAACATTTTGTTGCCCAGTTTAAATTACTGCATGACCGAAGTGATGAGCTGACCCAAGTAGAGGTGAGAAACTAGAGTGCATAGATGTTACTCTGCTACCAACTACCCCCACTGCTGCCATGCGGGCTTTAGCCACAGTATCTAGCTCCAAGTAACTTTTAGAGACAGTATGTATTTTTGTATATCCCTTTAAGATCTTTCCTCACATATATAACTTTCATAATTTTATAATGACAGAATATTAATTTTTATGGTTATCAATATCTGAAAGAAAGTATCTTAAGGCATATTCTAAAAAGTTAGGAAACTCTATAAGTACAGAGGATGAAGCTGAAGTACTGTTCAACCACAAACATCCACTTACTCATTTATTTGTTAATAATCAGTTTAGAAATTCCTAAAATTAAGAATATCAAAATTACTTATGTACCACTGCTGTCAAAAATGCTTGATCTGAATCTAATCAGGAGGAAACACTCGAGACAAATCTAAGCTTAAAAGTGTCATGAAAGACCTCACTTCTCACCCTACTCCCGAATCTCCCACATAGGGAACTGTTTAAAAGGGATTAAGGAAACTAATTAAGGCAGTAAGTGATCCTTGTTTGGATTCATTCAGAATACAGATATACCTTAGAGATACTGAGGGTTCTGTTCTAGACCACCACAATAAAGCAGACATCACAATAAAGTGAATCAAATCAATTTTCAGGTTTCCCAGTGCATATAAAAATTCGTTTACACTCTTTCGTAATCTATTAAGTGTGCAGTAGCATTATGTCTAAAAAAAAAGTACATACCTTAATTAAAAAATACTTCGCTGCTGAAAAATGCTAACAATCATTTGAGCTTTTACCGAGTCATTATCTTTTTGCTAGTGGAGGGTCTTGCCTCCATGTTGATGGCTGCTGAATGAATGACCAGGGTGGTGGTTTTGAAGGTTGGGTGGCTGTGACAATCTCTTAAAATAAGACAATGAATGAGGTTTACTGCATCCTTTGTTACTGACTCTTCCTTTCATGAATGATTTCTCTATATCACGTGTTGCTGTTTTATAGCATTACCAACAGTAGGGTAGGACTCCTTTCAAAATTGGAGTCAGTCCTCCCAAGCCCTGCCCATGCTTTATCAATTAAGTTTATATAATAGTCTAAATCTTTCATTGTTATTTCAACAATCATCACAGCATCTTCACCAGCAATAGGTTCTATCTCAAGATACCGTTTTTTTTTTGCTCATCCAAAGCAACTCCTCATACATTCATGTTTTATCATGAGATTGCAGAAATTCAGTCAAATCTTCTGGCTCCACTTGTAATTCTAGTTCTATTTCCACCAAATCTGCAGTTCTACTGAAGTCTTGAACCTCCTCAAAGCCATTCATGAGCGTTGGAATCAACCTCTTCCCATCCTATTAATGTTGGCATTTTGACCTCTTCCCATGAGTCACAAATGTTCTTAATGGCATACAGAATGATGAGTCCTTTCCAGTTTTCAGTTGACTCTGTCCAGATCCACCAAAGCAATCACTATTTACAGCTGCTATAGCTTATGAAATATATTAACTCATAAGATTTCAAAGTCAAAATTAATCCTTGATCTATGGGCTACAGAATGGATGTTAAATTTTATCAGGCATGTAAACAATACTAATCTCATTGTAGAACTCCATCAGAACTCTTGAGTGGCCAGGTACATTGTCAATGAGTGGTAATATTTTGAAAGGAATCTTTTTTTTAAACAGTTGTCCAAACAGTGGGCTTCAAATATTTAGTGAATCATGTTGTAAACAGGTGTTGTCACCCAGTCTTTCTTGCTCCATTTACTATACAGAGCACAGGCAGAGTAGATTTGGCATCATTTTTAAGGGTCCTATAATTTTTAGAATGGCAAATGAGCACTGGCTTCAACTTGAAGTCACCAGCTGCATTAGCTCCTAACAGGAGAGTCAGCTTGTCCTTTGAAGCTTTGAAGCTAGGCATTGCCTTCTCTTTTATAGCTAGAAGTCCTAGATGGCGTCTTTTTCCAATAAAAGCCTATTTCATCCTTATTGATAATCTATTTTCAATGTTGTAGCCACCTCAACTAGTTATCCTAGCTAGATCTTCTGGTTAACTTGCTGTAGTTTCTCCATCAGCACTTGCTGCTTCACTTGAGCTTTCATGTTATGGAGATGGCTTCCTTACTTAAACCTCATGAACCAACCTCTGCAAGCTTCAAACTTTTCTTCAGTAGTTTCCTTACCTCATTAGAATTGAAGAGAGTTGGGGCCTCACTCTGGATTAGGCTTTGGATGACAGGAATGTTATGGCTCATTTCATCTCTCCAGGCCACTAAAACTTTCTCCCTATCAGCAACAGGTTGTTTTGCTTTCTTATCTTTCATGTGTTCACTGGAGGAACACTTTTAATTTCCTTCAAGAACTTTTCCTTTGCATTCACAACTTGACTGTTTGGCACAAGAGACCTAGCTTCGCCTGTCTTGGCTTTTGACATGCCTTCCTCACTAAGCTTAATCATTTCTAGCTTTTAATTCAAAGTGAGAAATGTGCAACTCTTCCTTTTACTTGAACACTTAAAAGCCATTGTATTCTTATTAACTGGCCTAATTTCCATACTATTGTGCCTCAGGGAATAGGGGAATTCATGGAGAGGGAGAAAGACGGGAATAGTTGGTGGGTGGAGCAGTCAGACCACACCCAGTATTTCTTAAGTTCACTGTCTTATGTGTACACATGATTCAAGTGCCCCAAAACAATTATAATAGTAACATCAAAGATCACTGATCATTATAATATAGTAATAATGAAAATGTCTGAAATATTGCAAAAATTATCAAAATGTGACAAAGAGACATGAAATGAGCAAATGTTGTTGGAAAAATGGCACCTGCCAACAGACAAGCTCTATGCGGGGTTACCACAAACCTTCAATTTGTAAAAAGCACAGTACCTGCAAAGCACAATAAAGCAAAGAAGAATAAAACAAGGTATGCCTGTAATAAACCCACTGTAAAGAATACTACTGAAACAACTGGGAAATTTAGAACATGGTCTGAATTAGGAGATACATGCTCAAGTATTTAGGTGTCAAGTGTTCTATGTACAACTAAGTAAGTGGTATAGGAAAAAAGTGTGTGTGTATAAATATACACACCTACACACAGGGAAGGCTAATATGGCAATACATTAATTGGTGAAGGACATATAGTATATTGTTCTTGCAATTTTTCATAATAAAAAGCAATGGGGGCTCATAAAGAAGCAAGTAACTTCTAATTATAGGCTATTCAAGCATACAGATATTTGGCAGTTTTTGCCACTTTCTGAGAAAAATTCAAAATCAATTATTAAATTATACTTCTAGTATTTTTTTGCAACCTAAACCATTTTATATCTGTTGGGAATGTTTCTGATTTCTTAAGGTACAATTACTCACCAATCACAAATTACACTCAACACAATAATAGTATCTGTTTTTCAGAAATATATAGTAAACATAAGCTGTTGATTTAAACAAAGAATTTCAGTCTACTCTGACCATCTTCTTACTTGTATTCACTGATGTCAAAAGGCCAATCTGAGAAGAAAAACCAGCTTCTAATAGTTGGAATACCAAACCACTTTTATATAACTTACCCATTATGTTCGTAACAAAATTCTACTTCGCTTCCACAGGAACTTTAGTAGTTTCCTGAAAATATAACAATGCTGTATTAATGTTGGAATAACATGTTTTCACTCATTATTTAATATGTCCTGGGTGTTACAAGTTTAAGGACTCTCTTTTTGCTATGTGAGTTTCCCAGCCTCCACAATAGGAACAGTATCAAGTTTCTGAACATCTGAGAAAAGATGATCACCTCTAGGACAGTAAAGTCTAAATCCGTATTTGTTTTTTTATTTTTCCTTTAAGTTTTAACTATTCCGACAAGTTAAAAAATAGTTGTTCCTTAGGAGCTGAACTGAACTTAAAGGAGATCATTGGCCTTCATCATCTTTGTATACTGTATCTAATGGACACTGGTAGACACTAAAGCAAGTATTTGCTCAATGAATGACAACAGGATAAATTCAAGGACATTAAACAGCTTTCATGAAAATGAAAAAGGTAAGGTTTGCCCTCTTATGGAAATGTGCACATCTAAATTTTACTGTTCCATCCTTTCTGCAATAGGTTACCAAAGTTCTGAACTATAACAAAGTGGTAAAAAATGCTAATTTTCTGAGAGATCTTCAATTTTACAAAATAGTATGATTGCTAAAGGGAAAAGGACTCATGTTTTCAGTAATTTGTACTTTCACTGCATTTCCTCAAAGGAGGATTTTACTTAGACCAGTATTATTTTTTATGTCATTATTATGAAAACTGCATATCCTAATTATCCTCTTCTCTAAGAAATTCCTGACAAGTATTTTAATTCTAGCCTTAAGGGAAGAGCCAAGAAAATGAACCATAACATTTTAGAGCAAGAAATGAACTTGGAGATAACCTATATAATCCCTCACCTTAAAAAATGATGTAATTCATGTATAGAGAGCGGATGACTTGTTCTAGGTAATGCGAGAGGAAGAAAAATCAAATCCATTTGTCTAGAATGCTTGTTAAATATGGAGGGAGGTATTTAAAGCAAATATCTTTTTTTATAGTGAGATATTTTTATAGTGAGATAAAGGCAGCAGGGGCAATGTAACTTTACCAACAATTTGATGACCTAATAAGAAGTAAACAAACATTGAACTAAATGCCTTAGATACATTATCTTATTTTAAAATAACACTCTCACAGAGGAATTATTCCCCCTGACTTAGTGATGAAGAAAAATGCAGAGGCTGCTACTTGCTCAAAGCTTCCACAGATTAAGTGGCAGAGAGAGCATGAGGCTTTAAATGCAAGTCCACACTCCCTTCTGTTATCCCATACCATAGTAAAAAATTCTGGCTCCTATTAAAACTTTTCCACCACTGCTGGGAGCTGCTGATAAAAATCATTAGATAGTTATCTAAAATTTAAAAGCAGTACTATGCTATCATATGATAATAGTAAGCAATTAAAAAATTCATCAGTCATTATTTTCTTCTCTTCATACTGCTTTGTAATCATTCTTCTAATGAACAAAAAAAGAAAAAAACGCTGGAAAAGCTAGAACAAGAATTTCAAGTGCCAACTTTTCTATCTCAAAAATCTCCAGAGTAAAACATCCAGGATGTTTACTTAATCAGCAGTAGCTAAGCAACCATGTAAAGTCACATCACAGAAGCCCTTTGGGTAGCAACAGTTTCTTTACAGACTTCTTAATATAAGCCAGTTCCACCATTTATACAACAGAATTAAAGTGGGCAGTGGGTGGTGGGGGACTCCTCATCAGTAACAAAGAAAGAGTGTATCAGCAGTAATAGTTAACAGTAAATCCTAATTCCTAGGTAGAAGTTAAAATACTTGAAATATGATTAAACTGGGACTTAACCCACAAATTACCTATAAAAATCGAAGTTTAGAGTTACAAAAATCTCTGTGAACATTTGAACATCTATTCCATAACTGAGCGGAGTAAAATCAAGAGGTTGAGTAATTCACTAGGCAGAAGAGAGCATGAACAAATGTCTGAGATGTCACTATGCTTTTATAGTGTTATATATAAACATTACTTTTATTCTTTTTAAGTTTTGGAAACAAATTCTAGGTGAGCCTGGTACCTACACTAAAATTAGTTTTGAGTTTAGTATCATTGAACATTGAAGATCTTTGAATAGCCCATCCCTTTTCTGATTTGAACATAGTAAATGTCCTTTAGTGTGTATGAATATAGTATATGACTTGAATAAAGTATATAAACCTTATCATAAATTACTACATTGGTTTCTAGACTATATTCTGTTCCATCAGTCTGTTTATACCTGACCAACATTGCCATGATTTTAATTTCAACAGTGTGGCACACGTTTTTGCTAAATGGTTGGACAAGTCCCCATTTTGTCATTACATTATCTCATGTTAGGTCTTCTTTTGGGTACTTCATAGTTTTTATTATGAATGGGATCTGTTTTCTTATACTTACTGAAAGGTGATTGCTGGGGTTTTAAAGAAAAGCCTTTAAATTTGGTAAGTTGATCTTGTATCCCATGATCTTTGTAGAGCTCTAAAATTAGTTCTAATGGTTTTTCTGCTGATTGCTTGGATTACTAGATTTGCAGCGACAGCTGCAAATCTATTCTTTGTTATCTTTCTTTTTACTATGGAAAAATAATAAGGTTAGATGTCTAACTGACATCACTCACAAAAATACACTACAGATTAAAGAAGCAAATGTAAAAAAATTCCCACAACTCTGGAAAAATTGCATAAGAAAAATAGATATAGCTCATAGGCCAGTATAAAAATGCTTGATCCCAATGGTAATTAGGAAAATGCAAATTAAAACATTAAAACGCGCTAAGAATCAAATGTTAGAGGAAAGGGGAAAGATGATGCTAATAAGCAGCACAACTGCTTGGAAAGCATTAGGAGATTGAGGCGGCCAGCAACTCTCCTTGGCATCTGTTTTTTAGGGAAACACTGGCGATGTGTGCAACAGCAACCATCAGAATATTTACTCTAATATGGTATAAATGAAAAACTGAAAAATTTTTTGAAATAAGCTAAGTAGAAAAGTACAGCTGTACTTATGAAATATTGTGTGGCAGTGAAAAGGAGTAAATTAAATCTATACATATAATGGAATGGAAATATTACCAATTTAAACTGTTAATTTTTTACAAAGCAGGTACGAATGACAGGTAGTTAGATGCCATTTATGTAAAACAATGTATTCGCCTACTGATCTCATGTTTTTTGAAGATAAATAAAATGTATAAAAATACATGTTTGAAAGTGTGAAAAACTAGAAAGCTTTGATTGAAAACTGATTTTTAAAAAGAAACAAATGTGTAGAACCAAGCAGCTCATGAAGGGAATAGTGGTCTGTCAGCCTGATTATTAGTTCTTAATTATATGTACGAATATGATTAATTTGGCAAAGTAATTACATTAGCCAAAATTACCTAATGTTCAGTCTTATTAGAAGAAGCAAGAAGAGAGGCTTTGGCCACATAACACAAATTGACAGAAATTAGGATATAATTCCAAAAACATAAAAATATTCTGCCTAGAATGTGCTTAGAGTGTCACTGAATTTATATCTCATTGCAACTTAAATTCTCATTCTGGCCTAGTCAACTTAAAACAATGTTCTTACGCTTAACTCTTGTGTAGGCAATCTAATACTTTCGACAAATAGCACGCATTCCCCATTTTTCTCCTCCATTTTGGAACTTATAGTTTTCTCCAGTATTAGACACAAACGCTTATCTTGTAAGCATGTCTTTTTAGATGTATTTTCTCTCCCTAACTAGGTGTTAAGTTTCCACAAGACATTAAAGTTCTTTCTTTATGACCCACTTATTCAGCACAATGGTAATTACGTGGTAATGTTAACAAAGTGAAGCTCCATACAATAATCTGCACATAGGCAGTATTATCCTGAGCTTTCTAACATAATAAAATTATTCAATGGTACAATGTTTTTGACCAAGATTGATTCTTTTCATGTTTTTCCTTAATGTTGGTATTTAATAAACTTGCAACTTCTAGATAACGACACAATTGTTCTTTCTAGAAAACATCTATTTTAGTTTGTTGAAGTATTTTGGGTTATACTGAGTGGAAGGAGTGACTAAGAAAGAAAATGGTATTCTATCTTCAAAACAGAACTTAGTCAATATGAATTCTAATTTTTAAGGCAATTTTTATTTTAAAGACTTCCAGGATATAGCCACGTTTTGTGAAATTGTGATAACCAAAACATCAGTCCCACAATTTTACACCCATTACCATAAGTTGTAATGCAAGTGTATGAAACATTTATTTCTGGAATTTTGCTTCCTAGAATTTAGTAATCTGAAAATGTTAAGTATCTGGTAATATCCTCAATTCTCCTAGGGTTGAACTTGCTCTCAAAACATCCCTAGGCTTCAGAACATGTTTGGTTCACAGCAGCAGTCTACAGTAGGTCAAAGAGGGAATTTCTTTGCTTTTGCTCAGTCTATTAGGTAGGTCATTGAAAGTAAAAGCACTGACCTCAATTTTCAATCTATTTTTGATGGCTAGCAATTAGTTGTTGCCTTAAATGGTAAAGTTTTTACTACTGAAATAATGACTCACCTAATAATACCTAGTAATTCAGCTGTATTATAATATTTCATCAGTAGGGCCTTGATTTCTCATAATATGCCCTCACACCTGTCAGTACTATGATCTGCTTGTCATGATGAACTGTGGGGCTTTAGGAAATCTGATTAGAAAAATTATGATACTTAAGAACTCTGTTTTAGACTGGTCACAAATAATCAATCAGAAATACTACAGGGTGGTGTGGACTACAAGAAATAATCAGCATTAACGATTCTACATGGTTCCCAGATACACTGTGAATGATGGTTCATGTGAATGATGAGTTATGTATGTTTTAGTAAGCAGTTTCATATGAAATTATAAATGGTAAAAAAATGATAAACACAACTTTCCTAAATCTTTACACAGGAAAAGTGATTCAAAACATATACCTAGAAAGGCAAATCCCTTCAATAAATTAAGCTAGAAAAACTGGTTATCTATATGGACACAAGAGCCTCATGTTCAGAGTTAAACTTCAAAGGTAAAATAATAAAGCTACTAGAAGAAAACACAGAATATGTTCATGACCATCAGTGAAGGCAAAGATTTCTTGAGAAGATACAGAAAGAACATGTCATAATAGAAAAATATTGGTTAAGTTGGATTTCATCAAAATAAAAAACTTCCGCTCATCAAAAAACTCGTGAAGAAAATGAAGAAAATGAAAAGGCAAGCCAGAAACTGGGAGAAATTATTCACAACACGTATCTGACAAAGGATTTGTATCCATAATAATTAAAAACTTCTAGAAATCAGTAACAAAAAACACCCTAGTTAAAAACTGGGCAGAAGACTTGAACAGATACTTTACATTCAAAAGTGCTAAAATTAAAAAGTGTCAACAGTAAGTGTCTGAGAGGATGTGGAACAAATGAACTCCCATATATTGCTGATGCTAATGTAAAGTGGCAATCATTTTGGAAAGCTGTTTACAGTTTCTTAAAAAAGTTAAACATACTTCTATCTTATGACCTAGTAATTCCATTCGTAGGTATTATTCCCAGACATAATTTTCCACAAAACAACTTTTACAAAAATATTCACAGCAACTTTATTCATAAACAGGAAACTACCCATATGACGCATAAGTTGTGATATATTCATACAGAGAACACTATTCACAACAGAAAGGGACACGCTACTGATATACAAGATATGGATGAATATCAAAAACAGTGGGAAAACAAACAAAAAAGAACATTCTGTATCATTCCATTTATATGAAATTCTAGAACAGGCAAAACAAACTTACAATGATAGATCGGTGGTTGTTTCTGGATGAGGAATGATTAGAAAGGAGCATGAGGCAACTTTCTAAAGTGATAAAAATGTTGACTCTTGATAACCATTTGTGAAAACTAAACGGAACACTAAGCATACATGAAACATTAATTATATCTCAATTTTTTAAAAGTAAGGCTAGAGTATGTTTTTTAAAAATCTCTGATGGTTTTCCTTAAATTAAGATATCGTTCACTTGAATGATATGCTTTTCCACCTCATTAACCTTTCAAAAGACACTTATGTTGGAAATAAAACTAACCCAAATTCTGGATGGTAAGAGACGGGAATATAGGAGTTTGGCAGTCCCAAAGGAAGTAAATCTGGGATTAGGAATTTGTTAAGTGACTGGCCATAAAAGGAAAGTAGCTTTTGATCTGGGTTTCTCAATGGATGGAGGTGTTTTTACCTGGTTGAACTCTAAGGAAGGGACGATCCAGGAAAAGCAAACAGTATGAGCCCAGTTGCCGGGGTGGTGGTGGGGTAGGGGTATACAAAAAGTGCCTCAGTGTCATTGGAAGTCCACATACGAATTTCTACTCTCTGAATTTCTCAGGCCCAGACAGGTTACATGATAAGGCTTCTGTCTTCATGTCCCAAATAAGGAACTGGGCTAAAACTGTCTTAAAGTCCCTTCCAGTTCTACCATTTCATGACTTAAACCCATCTGAAATTCATCCTCTCTCTACAACAAATGCCTGTAATTCCCAATTTCCCATCTTTACTAAGCAGTCATTCCCACACAACACAGGATTTAAGGGCTTTAGGGCACTGCATTCCCAGAGTCCGTCTGCCTTACCTCTGTAAACTACCTAATCTCCCTCCTAGACAATGATTACCAAACTCCTTTGTTTTGGTTTAAAAAGTATAAGCAAATACTTCCACTATATAGTGTATATATTATTATAGAGTCAATATTATAAAATGATTTTTAAAAACCTTTGAATGAGGGCTGACAAAAAATGTCAAACACAAATTCTGACCTTGGTTAAGAGGTCACCAGGACTGTCACCTTGCATGTTTCATAGTCCTTATGCCCACTCTGTCCTCTTTAATGTAGCTACTCACCAAATCCCAGCCTTGGACAAACCAATTCCCTGCCTAACTCAGGCCTCAACCAAAGAGCTGGATGTGGCTGGAGAAAAGATACAACGATTTTGACTGGTCTCAGCTTTAAATTCAGGACCACACACTTTAAATAGGTACCTGGCAGTTGTGGTGCTCTTTCTAGTAAACTGGCTTTCCTACTCTGAGAAAATGATAGCTTCTCCTAAACCTCTAACACCTCTCTACTTCTTGCCCTAATAACCACTTATTTCATCAAGAAATTGGAAACAAATCACTTCAATTGCCTTGTCTTTCCACCTTCATTCCCCCTGCATCTATATGCCATATACTTTGTCCTGTTTCAAAAGCTGAATAAAAACCGGCTTTCGTATCCAAGGTCAACCTTTGCACTTATGCAAGCACATTTGTCCAAGGATTCTGTCTTGCCATTATTCCTATCAACTCATCAAAATGCTGTAACATCCTCACTACCATCAAAATTAGACACACCATCCTAGTCACTCTTAGTCAACTCTAATCTTAATATAATTTCTTCACATTTATCACCACCTGAAACTATATTTGCTTATTATATACATATGTGTGTGTGTGTGTCTCTCTCTTATCTCCTCTCTTTTCTCAAGCTCTGTGAGGGCAGGCCTATTACAGTGCCTGGTATATAGCAATGCTCAATTAACATTTCTTGAGTGAATGGTAGTTTTCTTAATTACCAAGGCTTGAAATTTCAGGCCTCACTGGATGGGCTTTTTCTGATTTTATTTAACAATGGAACAACACACATTTAAGACAGGTTGGCTAAAATGCATTGACATGTATTGGTACAAATGCAAAGACTTTCCAGACTTATTTTTCAGTAATGAAAAATCTACCAAAAAACTCCAAACAAGCACTTTATAAGATATATATTATTTCAGAACTTGATAGGAGGCTGATTTTAACTTCTGACTACAAACTACTGCCTAATTATATTACATAATTATCATAAAGTAATGAAATTGGCATCCTCCATTTGAAGTAAATTGAAGTAACTATACATATATTTCGGAATAGTAGTTATTAAATCTCATACTTAAGAAAAAAGAATACTAATTTAAAAATTAAATAGGAACCCAGTATCACTGACAATAAACAATATTTACGATTACAGAGACCATTGCTGTTTTCTAGCAATTTTATCTCCAGAATAAGTGAATCCGTGTGAACTGTAATGTTTCAACATCATGAATTATGTAATTATAATGTAAATGAGTTCAGAGATGTATTTTAGTCCCCTAGACAAAAGGAAACAGCTATTGGGGATCAAAAGACAAATGTGGCAGTTTGAAAACGAGGTTTTAAAACTCTAAGGCATTTCACTTGTTTTCTACACTGAAGGTGATGCAGAACAGAAATGCTCACACTAATGACACAAACTCCACAGCTGTATGTTACTAAAGAGGTTTTAGTTCCATAAAAGAAACTTAATGGCCACTGTACTTGACACTAGGTACCTCCTTTCAGACAAAACTGGGAGGTGGATGCACGACAGCCCCAAACTACCCAGTCAGACAGAGATCGCCCAACAAGTTGCCCACAAGGTAAACCTCTCGGAGTCCCGCAGCTGGAAAGAGAGAGGACCCTCTCCCGTGACTGAGGACTGACTAAGAAAAGAACGAATGGGCCTGCACAGTGGGAAAGCAAAGAAGAAAAGCGACAGGCGGCCACGCTCCTAACTCCAACCTCCCCGCGCTCGGTCCAAAGCAAGACCAGGCCGCCGCCCCTCCTTCCACCCTTTCCTAAACCCACCAAGCAGCGCCGGAAAAGGTCCCGCCGCCCTCTTCTCCCCTCCCCCAAACCAGGAGCAGTGGAGGCCCGGAGAGGTTAAGGGCTTCCCTTCCTTCCCCGCCCAAATGGAAAAGGGTGGGAAGTGGGAGTGAGAGTGCGCCCAGTGCGAGCATTTCTCGTCCTCCTCGAGGACCCTGAGCTCCGTTCCCATCCCAGCCCAAGACTCACTCGTCCGTCCCGCAGCCACCGCGCCAGATCCCCGCGCACCGCCACAGCCCCTAACTCCCCCCCCCACCCCCAGAAGCCTGCAGCCGTGGGTTCCGGGGCAGTTGGAAGAATCACTTCCGGCGGGTCACGGACGCTTTCTACGACGCGCGGGAGATTAGTACCTGGGGGCTGATTCGGCAGCCCACTTCCGTCTACAGGAAGCTCCCTCCTCCCTTCTCCCACGATACCACTGGCCATTGTCGGAAGACGCCTGGCAAATCTCACCAATCCCATTGTGGGTCTTCTGATTCCCAGAATGCAACACCCATGCGGATCCAATTTCCTCAGGGAACCCATCCTCAAAAGAGGCTGTCAGATCTCTGGGGCCATACTGCATCCTGGGACTTGTAGTTTCTGTTCCAGGGTGTTATGATTTTCTGGTAATTTTAGAGGTTGGCCTACCTTTGGTTGTGGGCGGGGTGTTCGTGGGAGGGATTACGCATGCAGATCAGAGATTATCTACAGAGAAAAGGCTGGAAGTATAGAGTGCGGTTTCTATGCTAACAAGATCGTGCTGCTTATGAAGCAGCATCTATCATCTGTGAAAAGTTGCAGTGCATGTTGAAGAGCGTCTCAACTGTTCGCGCAGCTTGCCTCATTTCCTCTCTTCCCGGTATCGTTCAAAGTTTATCGAAAACTAACCACGCCTCCCCACCCCTCACGCCCCCGTGCCTCCCTCACCTCCCATCCCCATCCCAGCTCGGGGATTGCTTAGTTTTCCTAGATTCTGAAATCATTCACAGGAATTTCAGGCGTCTGCCACTTATGATAATGAGTGCTGAGACCACCTTTGTCACTCCATGCCTCTTCTGTCCCCGCACCTTTCCTTTCTCGCTCTTTGTCTCTGTCTCTCCCCGCCTATCGTTTTACACGCTTTCCTGTGGTTAAATTCAGGCACCTTTCCAGGATGACTAAAACAGCTAAATAAAGTTCACCCTCTGTTTATGCGACTGGCACAAAGGGAATGTTAGGACCAAGACGCTCACCGTTGCAAATTGCCCAACTAGGCACTCTTGTCTAACAATGTCCACAGAGGGACAACAGATATAGGCGATCCCAAGTTAGCTGACCTAATTAATGACTTTTGCCAGAAAAGACTTTTTTTTTGTCCATTTGTCAGATAAAAGGTATTGCTTTTTACCTACAGACTCTCCTGGGTTAACTTTTAAAGCCTTTGCCAAATTTTTTTTTAAAGGTTTTTTGGTTGTAATGATAGCTCATAATAGAGTTTCGTGGATTTGGGCTGAGAAGAAGAGGTTTTAGGTCCATTTCTAATCATACATTTTCTCCTTTACTTCAGAAGTGTTTTCTCCCCTTCTGTTTTGCGCTTTTCCTCACTGCATTATCACCCTCTAAAAGATCACTCTTAGTTGCCTAGAGAATGATAGAATTTTCCAGGTAAGGATACCGAGGATAGCTAATGCCAGATTTAGGGCAAGAATCTAGAACTATTTTTTTCTTTTATGCAAAATTTTACTTTGTTTTAGAATTCTGCTCATGTAATCACTCATAATACATGCTATTGTAAAAATACAGAAATTGCAGAAAAGTTTGTTTTTTCCATGTGTTTTACATAATCATTCTGTATATATATATATGGTTCTGTATAATGTTTGCTTTCTAACTTAATACACCTCGTAACCAAACCTCTGTTATGAAAATCTCCATAAGCATCAATTTTACTGGCTGCATAAAATTACATTGTCTAAATGCCAAATGATTTCCCTCATTTGTGGAGTATAACAATGAAGCAAAACTGAAGGAACAAAATGGCAGCAGACTCAGAGACTCCAAGAATGAACTAGTGGTTACCAAAGGGGAGGGGTGTGGGAGGGCGGATGGTGAGGGAGGGAGAAGGGGATTGAGGGGTATTATGTTTAGTACACATGGTGTGGGGGATCACGGGGGGAACAGTGTAGCACAGAGTAGGCAAATAGTGGATCTGTTGCATCTTACTACACTGATGGATAATAACTGCACTGGGGTATGGGTGGGGACTTGATAATAGGGGTAAATGTAGTAACCACATTGTTTTTTCATGTGAAACCTTCATAAGAGTGTATATCAATCATACCTTAATAAAAAAATTTTAAAAATTACATTGTGTAAATGTTTTATGATTCACTTAAGTATTTCCTTAATGTTGGCAATTTATTTACATTTTTAAGTTATTTTAAGTAATACCGTGTTCAGTATCTCTCCAGTAATGTTTCTGAAATTTTTAGAATATGAACATTTTAAAAGATCTTGATAATCTGTTAACAGATTTTTTTCCAGAAAGATTCTCCAAGTATGCTTTAAACCAGTAACGTATAAGAAGTATTTAGGATTCTTATGAATGTACTAGCTTTACCAAAAACTTTTTTTTTATTATGCCATTCTGCCCTTAAGCTTGCTTTAAAGGAGGTAAAGGGGACTGGTGAATGGGGACAAAAGATAGCTAAAAAACAGAATTACTTGTTGAAAGGGCAAGTTCCCAATTCTATTTCAGCCAATTGGGACCCGGATCCTACCTCAGCCAATCAGGACCTGGATCCTATTTCACCCAATCGGAGCTTGGTCTCTCTCCTCTCCATTCAAGGAAGAGCTCACCCACCACCCTTAGACCCTGCCAATTGACCAGAGCCACGACCTATCACCCCACCAACTACCCCTAGATCCAGCCAATCAGCCAGAGCCACGACCATCACCCCACCAACTGCCCTAGAACACCATAAAACCTTTGTGGTATTGAAACTCACTCTCTTTCTCTGGCATCTTGCCACTGCATTGGTGTAGATGAGAGATTGAGCTCGAGCTAGCTCGAATAAAGGCTCTTTGCTTTTGCATCGGTGTTGGCTCCTTGGTGGTGTTCTGGGATTCGCGACTTTGGGCACAACACTTGCAAAAATGGTGGCCATCATTTTACCAATCATATCCATTTTCAGTTTTCCCCATCGGATCCATCTTTAAAGGGAACCTCCAAGATGATATGAATGGGGAATCAAGGCTTATTTTTTTAAACAGCCTTTGTATCATCCTAAAATCCCATTCAGGTAGTTTACATTCAACAAATGTCTCTAAATTTCTAGAATTGAGAAATCTATTTAACCACAAATAACAATTCTATGTAATTCTATAGCACAGTTTTCAAAATAGGATCTCATTTTAGCTATTTAGAAACCCTGAGAAGTAGGCTAAGTATTTTCATATTGCTTTCATATTCATTCGTTATTTTCATTTGCTTAGAGTATCTGTAGGAAGAAGCTAAGCTTAACAGAAAATAAAAATTCAGGTTCTTTCAGCATGTTGAAGTAATCAAACAAGGAGGCTGTTAGACTGACATGGCTGTATTGCCTTGTACACAAAGCAACACCTAAGTAAGAGTCAATTCTTGTAAATGCCTAAAGGGTAAGAAGAATAACCATCCGCAAACAGCCAACTAATTTTCTCAAATAATGCAACCCCTTAAGCTACAGCGAGTCAAAAAATTTTCTTGCTTTCTTCTGCATCTTCTCTATAAAACCTTGACCTTACCTCTCTGTCAGTGGAGTACCCCTAATCACTTCCACTTTGGCACTGCCCAATTCAAAGAAATTTTTGCTCAGGTTAACTAAAATTTAAAAATATGCCTCAATTTATCTTTGTTACAATATTAAAACCACACTATATGAACAGGAAATATAACATGTATCAGTAAAATAATGGATAATTGTGTATGCATTATGTATTTGTATATGTATGTTACATGTTTCAGTAAAAATAATGGATAGTAACTGGTATGAATTACACTAAACAATAGTTTTAAAAATATAAGTGGAAGGTAACTAAGAAATAGAAGTATTCATAAAATAGTACAATTTTATCCTTCTGGTTACTCAGAAAAAAAGGAGACAGGATTTGGAACTGTGAAGATACTCTATTTTAGACTTTGTTCCCCTCCTATACAAGTAACATGTAGAGTCAAAAGCATTTCTGAAATAGTAAACAAAAGTGGGTCTTTACAATTGCTCATTCTTCAAAAGTCAGCTGAATGTAAGGCCTTCTGGGGCCAGATTAATCATCCTATCTTTTCTGCTTCTGTAGCATTTTGTAAATTGGTATATTTCATTTATATTACAGCATTGTGTTTTTGCTTATTTTGGGTGTTTCCTCCGCAATGTAAGCACTGCGGATTCCCAATTTTACCCAGTATGTCTCCTCTGCTTCTTATTTAGTGCTGGCAGTCATTCACGGATGTGAATGATTGCTAAATACAAATTTGACAAGAATCAACATTATATGAACGAGTTCCACTTATTTTCTACCAACCCACTGTTGGATTAAATTACCATTCGCTTTTGTTCAAGTCGTATAAAATATTATTCCTTCGTGCCAATAGGCTAGATTCATTTTCCTCAAAGAAAACAAGTTTTGGGGCTTAAAAAATGACACCCAAGATAATGAAAAAGTTAACTCTGGCTTCCTGGGGTTGTCCTTCGCGCAGGGCTCTCCCTTCTGTCCTACGCTGTCATAAAGAACACCAGGCTACAGGAATGGGAACCCAAGCGCAGGGATGGCCTCGGCGGATCTCCAAAGCGAGCTGGTGGCGAGCGCAGTCCTCAGCGACAGCGCGCGGCGGGGAGGGTTGTGGGCGGGCCGTTTATTCCGCGCTCGCGCGAGCGTCCGAACCACCCGGCGGTCCTCTAGGGGGCGGGGCCTGTGCTGTGCGTCCGGGCTGCGGTCCGCTGAGAAGCCGTGCGTCAGGGTTCCGGGCTCTTCCTGAAGCGCTGTCTGCTGCCACTTCTCACGTGTGGGATGTTGCTTTTGGCGTTGGGTGGCCTCTGGGCATCGGGGCTGCGACTCGGCTGGAAGAGGACTGTTCCGTGGGCCGGCACCGCGCTCGGAGCCCACAGGGCTGCTGTCTCACTGGCCCTCTCCCGCAGCGGCCTCTCAGGGCTGTTTGGTGGCAGCAGCGTGGGGCTGCGGGGTGATGCACCGCTTCTCCGGTGTCCCCTGCAAGGGCAGGTCGGTTGTCCGAGGGCTTGTAGACCGGAGTCGGGATTAGGGCTGGGCGGGGGCGTATCGTCGGGGTTGGAGAGCCCCTCCTGACAGCATCTCCCCCTGGCCTGCCGGTACCTGTACGGAAGGAGCCATCTGCCGGGTTCGCTGCAGTGGCAGCCCTCGGCTCCGGGAAGTGGCCAGTGGTCCCGGGGTTTACAGCAACCGCGAGTCTAGCATAATTCGTTGAAAAGTGTTTATTTACTCTCCGGGCTGTTGGAAGCACTTTACATGTGGTTGCAAATCCAGGGGGGTTGTGGTGACTTTATTTTCTTTTCTACCCTTGAGCAGAAGCTCTGAAGGGTTAATTTGCAACGAAATTAGAGGCACACCTTGCAGACCAAATTGAAAGAACTCGGATAACCTGTCTTAAGAGTTTGTTCAATTTTTTTACTAAGTGGCTCTATTTTCAGGAATTCCTTTGCACCCTGGAAAAAGGGGATAGAGATGTTAATCCTCTCTTTTTAATCTTAATAACACTTCTTCCGTGTAAAATAACAGGATTAGCAAATGTTACTGAAATTTGGAAGAAATGCCTGACATGGGAATTGGAATTTATTAAATTCAGGTATAAATGAATTAGACGTGTCTTTTACGATTTTGAAATATGTGTTGTGAAAATTTTTAGACGTTCGAGGAACTCTTGTTCCCGTGAAATATGATGTAGGATTTCAAATCATTTTCTTAAAGAGGAACAAAGGATGCAAGGAGATGGATACAAGGCCTGTAGGGAAAGTTATCCTTCTACTAGCTATACTATCAATATTTTAAGTGTTAAAAACGGTCTGGACTTTAAACAACCTGCGTTTGTGGTGTTTTGCATTACTGTATTAAAATTAATTTTATTTTTTTGGAAAAGCTAATTCATTTATATCTTTGACAATTGAGTGAAAAGTGATGTTCTCATCTAACGAGGAATAGAAGAAACTGCTCCTCTAAATTTCGTATTTGTTCTAAGTCATACTTTATCTAAAAAGCTTTCGGCTTGGATGCATGCACACTTAGGCCTTAAACTCCAACTCAGCACATGTCTGCTTATGATTGGAATTAAGGAAAGCCATTCTGTCAGCCAATTTGACTTATTTAGCCCAGTAGATTATTTGGGAGAACTCCTTAAGTCACCTCATGTGACAGGTTCTCTTTTACTCATCATTATATTTTAAAAGGTAAGCATAAAATAATTTTAAAAGTTGGTCTAAGGTGCAGTTTCTATGTACTCACATTATAATGGTCTCTTTCTTAATAGATACCTGTTTGTTGGGAAAGATATGTTCGGTGTTCACATACACAACTTGAAAAATCAGAAGATGGAAGACTGATTTATACTGGGAATTTGGCCCGAACAGTATTTGGTGGGTAATCAGAAGTGAGGATAGTTCCTTTTCTTTCCTTTTAATTGTAAAAAAAAAAGTTCTAAGAATATTTTACCTATTATTTTAGGGGTGTATTTAGAGGTATATTGTTGTAAATATAAGGAAAAATTAGGTTATATGTATTTTTTCCTGTGGCCTGTTGATGATAAGATGTGTAGGTTGAGATCTTTGCATTTTTAGGATTTAAAAAATATTTTTGAAGACTTATAATTTTATGATATTATGGCTGGACACTAACCTTCTATTCTTTGGTCACCTCTTGGGATTTTTACAAACAAAATAAAATAAAAGCTGTATATGTGTGTAATGTTCTAATATGCAAAGAAAAAATATGGAAGAATACTTTTTAAGAGTAGTTATTTTGGAGTAGACATTTCATGTATTTTTTAATTTGGCAGTTAAAATGAGCATTTGATACTTTGATAATTCAAAAATATGTTAATTTTACATCTTTGCAGGTCATAGAATTTTCAACAAACATGTTTGCTTTTTTACAGGTAGTAGGGAGTTATGGAGAAGGAAAAGACAATGTATTATAATAGCTAAAAGTTTAAAGCTCCTTCCTTAGATCATAATTTAGTATTTAGTATGGAATAATTTTGTAGAGATGTTCAGAAGAACTTAGATATGTGATTTCTTCAAGTTCCTGAGACAGTATTTCATTTTACTAATCTTAAAGTATAACCTGAAATATCTGCAGGATTGCTTTATATTAGTTGGCCACAAGATTTTCAGCACTCACACTTGAATTTGTAGTTTTGATCATGCTGGTGGCAACTGATTATCTAAAATTTTCTCTGGAAATCAGTATGTTCCCAAATATGTGCATTAAAATAGACTACATTTAAAGTAGAGTTTTACCTATGTAAAATTTTTTGTGAATAAGGACTGATTGTAGTCACTATTGAGTGGAGTTCTGAAGTTATTGGAAAAATCAGTTTTGGATGGTTAGAAATTTCTTCAGAAGTTATATGCAAGTCTGGCCTGGAATGCTGGATTGTTGCTATTGAGATGTGTTAACAGTGATCCCCATGATACCCTTCCTCTGAATACAAATACTGTTCATTCAAATGCAGGGAGGGTTTTTCAGTTTATTTAATGTTCCCACTTGACTCCATCCAGAAGGAAGAGAATATAAAGAATAATTTGGATGTGGGTAGGATGTAACTGCAGAAGAGCATAGCTGTCCATGGTATTCAAAGTTCTAGAATTACAATTTGTAGAGGAATTTAATGTTTGAGTTCTTTCAGTATGATAATGGTCATTCTATATACTTATCAGGGATTAATACTTTTTCTGTAGAAGCTAAGGAAGAAAAAGTTCTTCTATATAAAACTGAATGATGATACTAAGAGACACTATTCTGGGAGGTTCTTTAAACTACCAAATGGGTCTAGTTTAAAGACATTTGAAGGGCCTTCTAGTTGACAGTTTTTATGAATTCAGAAATGAGTAATTATTGATGGTATAGTAGTCTTATCTTGTAATGAGTAGAATTTAAACATTGAAGATGTGTGAAAAAGGGCAGCCCAGGCATAGAAGCAGTATGAACAAAGCATAAGGTCTGGGAAACCCAGAATATCTGTAGAAAATAGCAATTGCTTTAGTTCAGGCAAAACAAAGTATATCTGTGTATTAGTTTCCTAGGGTTATTGCAAAAAATGTCTGCAGACTTGGTGGCTTAAAACAACAGAAATGTCATCTCACAGTTCTGAAGGCTAGAAGTCTAAATCAAAGTTTGGCAGGGCTGTATTCTCCCTGAAGGTTGTAGAGAAGAATTCTTCCTTGCGTCTTCTGGCTTCTGGTGGCTCCCAGCAATTCTCTGTTCTTGGCTTGTAGCTGTGTAATTGTAATTTCTGCCTCCTATTTCACCTAGCCTTCCCTGTGTCTCTGTCACGTTCTATCCTTATAAGGATACTCACTGGATTTATGGCTTATTCTAATCCAGTATGATCTCATCTCAATTTTTAATTTTCTGCAAAGACCCTATTTCCAAATAAGGTCACATTCTGAGGTTCTGCACAGACAAGATTTTGGGGGGCACTCTTGAGTCCACTACAGTGTGACAGAAGTAATGGAGAAAAAAGACGTAGTTGAAAGCTGAAGAGGCTTTTATATAGGAGGCATCTTGGTCCTCATTGTGTGTCATGTGTACCAATGGTGTATCAACTACGAGTGGGAGGAAGGAAAGAATTATTTTTAAATTGCTGCTACAAGGTAATTAAGCCATCAACCAACAGCATTGTTTGAGAGTATCTGCTTTGCTATAGTCTCACCAACAGAGTATTGTTGTCCAAGTTCAGGAGAAAAACAGCATCTCACTATGGTTTTAGTTGCATCATTTCATCTGTTTAAGGGTTATGAGCATTTTTGTTTCAATAAACTTTATATTTCTTCGATGTATATGCGTAGGGTTGTTGGGTCTTTTTTTTCTTGTATACTAGAACCTTTTATATTGGGGATATAACTCTTTGTGATATACGTTGCAAATTTTTTTCTCATCTATCTCTACTTTGTTTATGGTGTTTCTATCCATGTACATTTTTAATGTAATCAGATTTATCAGTCTTTCCCCCTGATTGCTTCTGTGTTTTGAATCATAATTAGAAATGTTTTCCTATTCTCGGATTATAAAGGACTTTATGGGTGTTTTCTTCTTATACCTCTGTGGTTTTATTTTTATATTTAAATCCCTGGATTATTTGGTATTTTCCTGGTATATGGTATGAGGGGTGGATTGAATTTGATCTTTTTCTGTATGATAATCCAGTTGTCCCAGTACCACTTTTGCCCACTGATTTTATTTTATTTTATTTATTTATTTTATTTTGGTATAATTAATCTACAATTACATGAGGAACATTATGTTTACTAGACTCCCCCCATCACCAAGTCCCCCCCACAAACCCCATTACAGTCACTGTCCATCAGCGTAGTAAGGTGCTGTAGAATCGCTACTTGTCTTCTCTGTGTTGCAACAGCCTTCCCTATGCCCTCCAACCCACATTATA